TTTACTACTCTAGGTTGATAATTGACAGTGTCGTCTTTATTTGGAATAATCTTTAGATTCAACTTTATTATATAAATCAATTTCGTGATTATTCAACTCTGTAATATAAATACATTTCTTTTTAATAACTATAATTATTCTTTCAATGGTGGTTGACATTTTAAAATAGAAAAATTTAAATTATCACTTTAAAATAACTGAAAAATAACCCCAAAATATTTAAACCTTAAATACGGAGCGAAGCGACGAAATTGGGAGGATTGTGGATTCCCGAAGGGTGTCCGAAATCGGCACAATTTATATATTACCGTGCATTGTTTTTTACCTTTGTTTTGTTATAAATAGTAAAGTATGGTTTTTATATTTTCATTGATGATTGATAATTATTGAACTTGGTTTTTTAATTGATATTCATAAAAATAGAGCAGAGATAATGCACCATATTATATTTAATATACCGTGTTGACGGTACGATTATTTTTATGTTAATTGTTGTATTGTATTAAATGTATCTATTGTATATAAAGATTTATAAACTAAATTGTGTATATTCAATGAAATAAACAAATACATATTATTATTTAAAGTTCGTTTTTGATGTTTTTTTCAAAAGTCAATTAAAACTAATAAAAGACAAACATAAGTATTATAAACAAGTTCTTGATCATTATTTGTTCCAGTGGCATCTGTAATAAACTATTATTATTATAGATAATCAAGTTGTTGTTTAAAGAAACAATTTTTGGTTTGTTTTTTTATTTTTTTGTGAATAATTTGTTAAATAAAAAAATAATAAATATTATTTAAATTATTAATATATTATTGATCAAAACAGCTCGATTGTTTAATAATAAATGATCAATATCGATATAATATTAGTATTATACTGTTTACAATAACGAGTGTATATGTTTGAAAAGTACTTTTTTGTTTAAAGAAGAAATATATTTTAATTTTTTTGTTATAATTGTATCATTTAAAACCACAAAAATATAAATAATAAGATGAAATACAAAAGTGGTTTTTAGTTTACTTTGTATTGTTGCATTTGGCTCTAACTCTTCTCTTATAATGGCATTTAAAGTTGGTGAAGCCACAATTTTTGGATTGGTATCCGGATTGTTCCTATTGAGTGAATCTGACTTGGTGTTTGGTGATGGGACGTTTAAAATTGTAAACTCGGATGGTCAATTATATATACTTCATTCATTCGTCAACAACTTCGCGTCCTCTTGCATTTTTATAAAAATGCTTAGAAAGTCGAAAGTGAATAATGCAGAAGCATTTACTATGGTTGAAAATTTGGCCAAACAACGTAGGCTTGTAATTTTTATAAACACAAAATCTTAATTAGCGACTTTGAAATGGCTACTATAAAGTGTCTGAACATCTTTTTTCCTCTTGTTGAGTTTAGCGGTTGTTTTTTCATTTTTCTCAAAGTATTTTGAGAAAAATCAAATGAAGTGCGATTGAGTGTAGTCATTACTATATTAAATACATTGATTTTAAAATATTTATTATGCGGATAATTTGTAGTGCATTTCTTCTTGTACCATTTCTCAACCTTAATCTTCTCAACTATCTATTCGAATAAATTGAATTAATTAACACCAGAGTTCCCACTCATTTCCTTAAGTTTTTAAAAACTTACTTGACAAACACGTATTTTAGAAACGAAATACGACCTCCAAAATTTGAAAGAAAAATATGGTGTTGTTTTGTATAATCTACGCGGACAATATTTCCGAAAATTCATATTCAATTTTGGACCTCAAAATTCAAAAGAAGGTCGACGTCATAACTTTGGTTGACTTGATAATGTTCGTACTTGAAAGTGATCGTAAAAAAATGAACTCAAAGTACATACTAGAAGACAAACATCTCCTATTGTAAATCATATACTTAAAACATAAACAATTTTATTTTAAAAAATTGATCTTTCATTTGTTGATTTTTTAGATCAAGTTTCGAAAATATTGAAATTGAAATCAATTCACCGATGTTCAGAATATATACTCAAAGAAAAAAACGAGAATGTTTTAAAGAAATTACAATAAAACGAACTAATTAAAGATACAAGTTAATTACAAATCGGTACAATTGACGAATATGATTATACTTTATTGTTTAATGAACACATCATTACTTAAAACGAATCTAACTCTATTGCTGCAGAATTTGAAGTACACAATTGGACAATAACAGATACATCATCAAACCAGGATAACTACTTCGAAGATTTAAGAAAGAAATCTTTTTATAATATAAAAGATATCTTTGCTTTAGACGCATATTTTGAAAGTATAAGACGATTTTACAAAAATCCACTCAATCGCGTTGAACGTGAAACATTTGACATTTCTTTATTAGAAAATTATGACGATTTTAACGAAGAAACCTCTGAACTTGAAGACGAAAGAACATCGTTGATTGAAGAAGAAGTTTTATATGTTAATAATGAGGAAGTTGGAAGTGTTTGTCAAGTTTTACAACCAGAAACACAAAATATATCACTATTAATGTACAACCCTTATTATACAACTTACCAAATACCATATTACCCATACTTTTGTATTTATCAACAACCATTTGTGTTTAATATAAGTTATCTGTAACAACACAACGATATGTTCCAAAAATGGAGATATTAGTTTATAGAACGTTTTTTAAGTTGACTCTCCGAAGGCTCAGTTATTTGGACTTTTGTTTCTTTTCTAAAACTATTTCTTCTTTCTTTTTGTTGTTGTTTTTCTTTTAAGTTTTGAATACTTATTGATGATATTTTTTAATTTGTCCATAAAAGTTTCATTTTTTGTTTTTCGATGTTTTATTTTTTTCCTTTAAAAACCCGAACTTGTTCAATGATTTTATGTAAGTTTTCATCTGAGATATGATATTTTTTCACAATGATCAAATAATCTATTTTTTAATAGATATCAATAAATAATTGTTCGATTTTTAAATCACTCAGATCCTTTTTAAAATAATCAGTTTGAATAACTTCTTCTTGATTTTTTTTCTGATTGAAAGAACTTGTTTTGAGAATAAATTAGTTCAATTATTTCAGTTTGAGTAAACTCAATTTTTGAATAAACAGCTTTAATTGTTTTTTGTTGTGTGTTTTGACCAAATAATTGTTTTTTGGTCTTGAAAAATATTTAAATTGAACCAAATAACCATTTTTTGCATCGTTAACACAATCAACGCGTATACCTCTTTGATATGGTTTGTCTTTCATTAATACTTTTATCTCTAAACCTTCCAGTGTATGGAATAATACGTTCATCAACGGTAATAAATTAAGAAGGATTGTACAATGTTAAAAATTTATAGTTGAGAATCTTAACAATTTCGTCTACAGAAGCAGTGAATGGAAGTTCAATTCGTTCTTTTATTGTTTTCAGATCATCAAAACGAAGGCACCTCATTATATCTTTAAACTCTGCATATGACATTTTGGTATTTATATTGGAATTTTTAAAAATAGACTCCATTATTTTATCTTTAAAATAAGTGTTGGAAATAATTATAATCCCAATAAACACACGAAGCTTATCAATTGAAATTGGGTTGATTGAATGAAAACTTTTGTGTTCTCCTTCTTTTCCATTTTTTGTAAACACTTTAGACATTCTAATACATTCCTTGTTTCAATTTGTTTAATTAGATCCAGTTTCATAAAAATTTCATAGTTCAGTGGTAACAATAAAGACAAAAATAAAAGATTCTGTATGTTTAAGAGAAAACGAGTTTTCACATGAAAAAAAATAATATAGATTTTCAAAAATTGGTATTTGTTTGATAAGAGAAGTGTTTTCAAAAAACCACTTTTTGATTGTTTCCAAATCTACTTTTTTATTTGCTCACTGTAAACAGTTGTATATTTTAGACCACTTTCCAAAATATTTATTTCATGTAATATTGTTTCATATGAATTGATATAGTATCTTATATAAGTTAGTCTTTTTTCTCTACATCAATTCTTTGGTTCGTGGATTTGACAATATTACATAAAAATTGATCATTAAAAAATAAAAACGTTTCAAAAAAATTATTTGTTTATAACTGTATGGATGGTTTTTTCTTCAAATGCAACATTTGGTGTACATTGAGGTATAGATGATTTCCAAATTATTGTCTTACTTTCAAAAACTTTGCCTTCTTGATAAACTGTTATTTTCACTGGTTTTGTTTTTTGTTGTTTTCAAACATTTTTCTACTATCTTTTTGTTCAATCACTTCTTTGACTATTTGTTCGACTTCATGTTTATTTAATTTAATACCTTCATCGTATGTATATTCGTCTTCAAAATCATAGTATTCATTTTCTTCGCGTTCGATGTCTTCCTCTTCAATTTCATTTTCATTTTGTCCGTAGTTTATTTCATCTTTTTGTTCTTCTTGTTCTTCTTGTTCTTCTTCAATAAGCATCGCTACCAACTCATTCATTTTTTGGATATTTAAAACCCTATATTTATAAAAAACATTTATTTGGTGTTGATATTTATGTTAATTAAGTTATAGTTTTTTTAATTTTGTTATTATTTTAAAGTTTATATAAAGTTCAAAACAATAAATCAAAATAAACAGACACAAAATTGTCTTTTTTGATAATTAAGTGTTAAGTTATTGTAATCTCTGTCTTTGCGATATTGATGATTGTTAATTATCAAAACTTTGTCAAATTACTTGCAATACACCATGAGTTGCCAAAATATAAACAGATAAAACCGTCTATTTTTGATTTTATAATGTATTGTTCTATTATC